TTCTCTACCTTTAAAAAACCATCAAGTTAATTAGACATTGAAAAAGATCGAAGTAATCATTTAGTAAATATTTTTTCTACAACCCTAATTCATCTTCCGGCGAAAAGAGAGAAGAGAAATATCATAAAGTCAAAAAATTGCCGGAGATTAAGACTAAATAATAATAATTGACAAAAAGGGGGATGTTGATTAAGAGACGTAGTTTGGAATTTGTATTCCGGGAATAAAATTTTTTTTTATTGCTATGCGCGTATAGAATTTATACACATATATATGTATAAAGGCTTCACAACGATTACGCTCATATGCTTGTCACGAATTTATCAATGTTTTGTCCTCAGCGTTCAGATCTGTCAAACAGTCATTTTGAGAAAATGTCACTTTAATGAGGTCCCTTGTAACTGATCGCATCGCGTATAGAGTCGCGGCATCCCGCTGCGTCCTAAAAGATGAGAGAAGAAGCGAGAAGGAGAGAGAGAGAGGGATTTCTAGAATACAAGTAGAGGAGGGGATATTGGGCCCAAGAGACGAAGGGGAGGGGGAAATACGCGCGCTTGCCACGCGTTCATACGACCAAATCGTAAAAACTTTCGATATAAAAATTAGAATTATAATTATTAATTATCAATATCTAAAATGAAATTTTTTTTCTTTAGAATCTATACATTCTAAAAATAGTGTCATAAGATTTTTTAAATAATAAAGATCTTAGGCTTATTGTTTAAACCGAGATTTAAAGAATACGCGACTAGAAATTTTTTTTATCATAATTGATTTATAATTTATTTGCAAATTCAGAGAGTGAGTGTCCCCACTTCGCGCGGTTAAAGTGGAGAGGGGGTTATGAGAGTGAGAGAGACATTCGGGGTTTTCTCTCTCACTCCCGTTGTCCCCACTCCGGCGCCAACGTAACTTAACCTCTAAATGTAATCTAAAATAAGTAATAGTTCCGTTACGGTAAATAAATTATTTGAAATTCTAGTGAGAGTGAAAATTCTCCATACTCATTGCGAACAAATAAGAATTCAGTGCTGAGAATTATTTTTTCTTTTCCTTTCGCCCGTAAGTTCCGTCCCCCGTGGGTCTTGATACATAAAAAAAGGAGCATTATCTGTTTGGGCATGTTAAAGTGAATCGAGTTGTAAATTCGATTTTGTTTATACGAGTCGCTTTCGAGAGAGAAACGGAGAGAGTTTGAGAGACAGAAACAGAAAGAGTTTAAGAGAGAGAAAAATAGAGGGATTATGAGAGAGAAAAACAGAGAGTTTGAGAGAGAGAATAAAAGAAAAGGAGTAACAGAGAGAGAGAGAGAAAGAGAAAGAGGAGAGTAAAAGAATATAAGAGAGAGAAAGAGGCGATCGAAGATATACAGCAACGAAGACGTACGACCAAAGTATATAAGGACCTGTCTTACCGGTGCTGCGAGTTAAACGGCCAGAGTCGAGTCTAACTTGCACTGACCACGCGTACGTGTTACATATACATACAGACATATACGTACGCCAACGGCCTAAACGCGAATCTTCCTCGTCGGGAACAAAAAGCTGTTTTTTTCCCACGTTAACGACCTCCCCCCCCTCCTCTCTTTCTCAACTCATTCAACCATTTTTTCATTGTAGTCACTTTTTTTGATATAAGAATATCATCGAAATAATACCAAACACAGGATTTATAATATCACTCTCATATTTCTTCATTCTATACGCGCACTTTTAAAAATGATGCATTTCGTACACATTGTTTTCCTCGTTACCCATAAAAGCAAAAAGAAAAAAAAATTCGTGAAAATTAAAACAAGTTTGGCCAGTTTTTTATAATTATTGTTATTTCTTCAATTATTGTATTTTTTACTCGATTGTGGCGGCCTCAGTAGCGCCGCCACTGTGGTCCGTGAACTGAATTGATAGCGGGAAAATTTAAAAATAATTTAAATATTATCCTTCGTCTTATTAAAAAAACTGTTTATTATTATTCATATTGATTTATCTACCTTAATTAATCTAAATTTGAATTAGAAAAAAGTTTTACTAATTTGAATTAGTGCGGCTGACCTTTTGCTTTTGAATTGGTAAATTTTCCTAATAAATTAGTAAATTACTATTTTAATTAATTAGCAAATACTATTTATTAGTCAGATTTACTAATTCAAAAGCAAAAAGTCAGTCACTAATTCAAATTAGAGAGTAAAATAAAAATTGTTAAATTAATCATTAAATGGTAAATTAAAATTAAGTATAAATTAAATTAAATGTAAATTAAAATGGAATATAAATTAAATTAAATAGTAATTAAATTTAAGCCTTGTAAAATATAGTTTTAACGAAAGAGAATAATGGTTAAAAGGGGGGGGAGAGAGTGAGTCTGGTTATTTGCAAAGGCAAATTACTCTAAGAAGTGAAATTTCGGAAAGACCGCAAATCCGGGCAATTTAACACTAGGTGGCAATGCAACAGGTACACCTCATTCATTGCTTTCCAGGTATAGAGGAAAAGATTTTCCTATCGGTCTCCATAGATCGTGCGACCGATACCCAAATAACATTCCACAACTTAATGGCACTGCCCCTTTTTACTACATATTTTGACAAAAATCCGCTCATGGTACTGCAATATTTTTCATTTTTATATATTTACAATTTTACGGAATTGCCTCAATTTCCGGTTATATATGGCGAATGTAAATAAGAACACGACATGGACTAAACATATTGGCAATTTTTTCCCACAAAAATCTGCTTGACTTAAATTTTTATTGTTTTATAACCTCTTACTATATGCACTAATAATCCGCAAAGAGGACGAAATTTTAAAACTTTTATAATTTTTAAAAATTTTAAATTTTTTTCATAGATTTTGAAAATAGTTACTAAAAGTTGTTTGTTATTTTAAGGTCAATTTACAATATAAAATTTGGTCATTTTTTATAAATAAGGTCAATTTTTAAAATTAGACATTTTTTTTACTGTTACAGTTCAACTAAAAATCGTTTTTCTTTAGTTTTATTTTTGGAATTTTTCAAATCCTCTCTAGATGGTGATAATTATAACGATTTTAATTACCAAACGAACATCTGGCATGCATATTTTTCTCTTGGAACGAAATTTTAGAATTTAAACATTTTTCAGATTTATGAAAATACGTATGTAATTAGTAATATTTATGATATAGGAAGAAACCTTAATTTTAAAATATTGTTAAATTTATTTAAAAAACTTTTAAAATCTAAGATTAACCTGGGCGCACTATAGTCACCACCATATTTATGTTTTAGTGAATCTTTTTATCGAATTGACTTCTTATTTATAAATTTTTTTAAATAAAAAACTACTAAGTGCAAATTTACCGGCCCTCTAAAGTTTAAAATACGACTTTTTTGTTAATTAAAATGATAAAAATTCATTTTGAAAATATATACTTAACCTTAAACTATTGTTTGTTTGATAATAAAAATACATTATTAGAAATGATTTAAAATACCATTGAAATTATTTCTATTGGTGAGAAAAATATTCATTTGAAACCAATGGAAATAATATCAAACTGATTTTTTTGAAACTCACCTGTAAAAGTGCAAAAAAAATTCACTTTGAAAATTAGTAGTGTTTTTGAATATTTAGTAGATCAATAGAAATGATTATAAATACCAGTTAATTTTCTAAAGAAGAGCTAATCAAAAAAATCTTTTCTCCAAGAAACCAATTATAGGAATTTTTCGATTTATAAAGAATGAAAATACAATTACGATTTGATTAACAAATGAATAAACCTAACATCAAAAAATATCTAGTAAATTTCCAACAGTGCAAATCATAATATATAAATATTATAAATGAATTCGGTTTCTTTAGTTTTTATATTCTTTCTCTCTTTCATTCTCTCAACCCTTTTTCTCTTCCCCCTTTCCTTCCTTAATTTCTAAACACCAGGACCTTGGGTACCTTCTTCGCCACAGGTAAATTTGTGATCCTTAACCTACCCAATGAGTCCCATATCCTCTTTAGCGCACTGGTACACACACAGAACTATAATATATAATCGATGTCCTTAAAACCTGAGAATCTTTTGTTTATCCTTCCTGGAAAAATGATTGTGAATTATTTTCCTTAAATCCCTATACAGAAACACACTTTATGACTATGGGACTTATATACCATATACTATAACTACAACCGAGTGTCTTCATTTGGGGCCCAAAATAAGAGAGAGAATTTCCATGGGAAAATTTATTACAAACCCCCTTGCCACTCTCTTTTTTCACTTCTCTAATAAAAATTGGGTTTTTCCTCTTTTCCGGTATATAAAAACCTTATAAAGTCATTTAGATTTATAATAATAATAAAAAAATTTTGGTTTTACTGCACAGGAGAAGAAATTTTGTAGTAATTTATATTCAAGTTTTACGGTTGAAGAACATTTCTGCAAAGTAACAAAAAATTCAATAGTTCTTTACTAGAATTATTCTTTAGAATGATTCCAAAAAACCCAAAAGTGAATATTCTATAAAATTTTACTAGAACAATTCAATGGAATTTCTAGAAGGAATCCCAAGAAAATATTCTTTTTGATTTTTTAACATTATTTTCTTAAAATTTTTTTTATATTCGATATTTTATTGTTTACATTAAAAATTTTCGTTTTTAAGACATTGTTTAATCCTTTGTTAGCAATAATTTATTTGTATTCTATCTTTTAAATTCATTAAAATAATTAAAATTACTTGTTTGCATCAAAAAGTGAAAAATCCCACCGCTGCCACCAAGTATGGTTTGCTGAAGTTCTAATATTCTCAGTTGATGAATCGAAATAAATTTACGAAAACAAAATAATAATAATAATAATAATAATAATAATAATAATAATAGTAATAATAATATCGATGATAATAATAATGCAAATTATATAAAGTAAAATATAAATCATAAACAATAAAAAAAAAAAAAAAAATTTTAATTTTTTAGAAAGGAAAGGTACTAAATTAGTAAAAAATAATGAATGCAAGTATATAATTATAAAATTCATATATTTAACGAATTTTTTGTTCATATATATATATATTTATATAATATATCTAGTGAATAAATATTTACAAAAGGCACTGGCACGTGAAAATTTTTCGATGAAAGACTCGTTTATTTCACAATCTCTCTCTCACTCTCTTATCTTAACACTGAATTGAGTCGCACGTATGTTAAGTTTACATATTTATATATAAATATATATTTCATTTTTTTTCTTGTAAAAAAAAGTTGCTTCTACTTTTTATACATATTGAGCACATTTTGTCGTTGTATAAATCATACAGAAAAGGCACTTAGCGGTTTTTTAGCCACAATTTTTTTTTTTCTCGAAGATTTCAACGCTCGACCAAGACACAAACAATTTTTTATCTCGAGCAATAATGAAAGAGAGTCAAAATATGATTTTCGAAATATTTTCCATTTTTTAAATATTTTTATCGAAATATTTTCCAATATTTTCCAATATTTTCCAATTTTTAAAAATATTTTTATCGAAATATTTTCTTTTAACAAAAATATATTTAGGAAAATATATTTTTTTTTATATAAAATACAGATATATATTTATATAATAGTATACGTTATGTTACTTACATACAGTATAAATATATGTATATTATTTACAAAAAAAGAATTTTTTTTTCAATAGCAATTTTCAGTAGCATTTTTCAATAGCAATTTAGCACATTTTTGTTCTTGTCTTTATTTTTTTAGTTTTTTTTTTACGTCGTGTAATATTTTTTTGGCGCTAAGAAATATTAGGTTTCTTTTTTTATTACACGCGTAGATTTATAAATTTTTCTAGAGAATGAAAAATAGATTTTGCTTTGAATAAAAAAAAAAAATTCGAAATTTTCTCCGCCGGAAATGTTTTTTTTTCTTCCCCGAGGGACTTTTTTTTTTGACTAGATCACAGTTGGTGGAACAGCCGATGGAGGTTGTCTCTCTCTCAGATTATAATATGTACATTTGTTTCGAAATCTGTAACAAGAAAGAAAAAATAGATTATTAGTACTGTTATTTTAGTTTTTTTGGTTTGTTAAAATAACTATTGCCCGGAATTTTTTCAAAAATATTATTTTATAAAAACATCGTCCCGAATTTTGGTTCTAAGAATACTGTTTTCAAATGGAATAAAATTGCCCCGAATTTTTTGCCCCAAATTTTTGTGGATTGTCATTAATGAAAAAAAATTTTTTTTTTTTAAATTATTCATCGATGAAAAAAATATAAAAAAAGGATTTGAATAAAAATTGAAATAAAACTCAGAAACATCGACACAGGTATATAACACTGGCGAGCAGTGCGAGAATAGTACAATATTCAGGGGATGATTTTACAGGTAAGGGCGATTCTCCGTCTCTCTCAATTCTCTTTTTTAGAATTGAAGAGAGAAAGAGTCAAAGAATGGCGCATACCGGTTCGAAAAACCCGACAAAGGGGGCTGGAATATCCTGAAAGATGCATTCAGGTTAAACGCAGCGCGCGAGACAAAAATCGCTCGTGTGTGTGTGTGTGAGTGAGCCCTTTAAAAAAAAAAAAAATCGGTGGGAGGGGATTCAACGAAAACTGGAAAGATTACGCTTGCCCGACCTTAAAGGCGAGTAGGCATTGCGTTAAAACGCTGATGGGTGGACAACGACAACGACAGCTTTCTGTCCCTCTTTTTTTTTTTAATGTCCCCAAGATCGTTGAACGACTTCAAGGTCTCCGAAAAATGCTCTTAACACGCGGAAATAACTCGTAATTATCTCGGTCAAAAACCATTAATTTTCCCTCGGAAGCCGCCCTCTTATTTTTGTTTATAATTTCCCTTTTTGGAATTAGGGACAAAATTTTGTGTTTCGATTAAAAAAAATTAATTAATTTTCTCTAAAAAAATGTATTTCGTTGGAAAAGAAAAATTACTTTTCCAAAAGGTATTTATTTCGGGTGTTCTATTTTTTAAATAAGTTCGTTTTTTATTCGTTATTAAAATTAAAATTTAAATTCGTTAAAATAAAATTTTTATTTGTTTCGAAAATTTAAATTCTAAAACAAGAAGTAGAATTTGGTTGAAAATGGAATATTTTTTCAAGTTGGAAAAATTGAGCCCCTGGGAAGAATCGAACCCTGGTCTTTCGCTCCCAAGCCGGGGACGCTAACCCCTCAGCCACCACTGTTCCTTTAATTAATTTCAACTCTTTCGATTAAAATGCCTTTTAAATTCAAAATATCTTTATCATAATGACTCAAAATTTGAAAAAATAAACCCTGATAACCTTTTCTAACATTTTTCAATTTTGAAAAAATTTTCAACAAAAAACAAAAATTCGATCAAAATTTGAAATTGAAAAGAGATTCTATGACAGAATGAAAGAGGAATTGGGTGCTTGATAGGGGGAAAAGGGGGCAAAGAGAGAAAAAAAAGAGAGAGAGAGAAAGAGAGAGAAACAGGGATGTGAGGAAAACGCATAGAGAGCAAATATGAAAAAGTGAAAGAAATCCCAAGGCACAAAAGAGAACGTTTCTGAGATGTATTCTCGTTTGCCTCTATTCTGAATGGAGTCTGAGTTTTGAATGGTTCCCCGAGTTTCAGTGAGGGGTCGCGCCATTGTAAAGGACAAGGTCACAAAATTCTAGTCAGAAAAAAAATTGTAAATTTCTTTGGGCTTCCTCCGCGTTTTTGTATATAGTTCAGATATAGAAGAGAAAAAAAAACCCACAGACAAACTGGCGCTTAAATTCACTATATTTACTTTCAATAAGAGCAAAATGAAAAAAAAGAGCGAGAGGAAGGAGAAGAAGAAAAAAAGAAAAAAAGGTATATAATGACTCTTATAGGAGATAAGAAAAACTGTGGTCCAAAATTTTTACAATCCTGTGGTCACACTGAATATGAAACAATTTTCTCTTTTGTAATTTTTTTTCTCTTCGGTCGAATAGAATTTTTTTTTATTGGGTCATAAATTGGGACAGTATTTTGTTATGGTGAATTTTGGTTATTAATTATTGAAGGGTGATTTTTTCGTTAAACCTGTGTCGATTTTTCGGTTTTATTTCTTTTGAGGAAAAATAGTGGTTCTTTAAGGATATCGAATTGAGACAAAAAAAGGAATCAAAAGAGTTGCTTTTGCTTCGCAACACTTTTGATTCCTTTTTTTGTCTCAATTTGATAGCCTTTGAAAAACTGATTACAATTATTAGAAATAAGGGAATTTTTCAAAAAGTAGTAAAATTTACGTATTTTTCCCTCAGATGGAGATAAATATGTACCAATTTTTTTTATTTTTTTTTTCAATTTATTTATACATTTTTATGCAAAATTCAACAGTTTAAACTTGAATCCATGGTAATTGTAATTATTTTCATAGTTTGTAACTGAAGAATATGTATAAAATTTAATTATTCTTAATTTTTAATTTAAATTCTTACAATTTTTAAACGATTTTAATTAAAAGCTTTAAAATTTCCAAAATATGTAAATTTAAACCTTAAAAGTTTTAAAATTTGTATAAACTTACATTTACATCTTCAATTTTAGTTAAAAATCTTAAAGTTTTTAATGTTTCTAATTCAAATCCTTTCAATTTTTAATTAAAACATTTACATTTTTTATTAAACTTCTTAAAGTTTTTAATGTTTCTAATTTAAATCCTTTGAATTTTAACGTTTTAAAGTAAAATTCTTAAAATTTTCAATGTTTCTAATTTAAATCCTTTCAATTTTAACCTGTTTGAATTAAAATTCTTAAAATTTTTAACCTTGTTAACTGAAAATCTTAAAATTTTCAAGGTTTTATATTTAAATTCTTTCAATTTTAACATTTTAATAAAATATTCTTAAAGTTTTTAATGTTTCTAATTTAAATCCTTGCAATTTTTAACATTTTAAATTAAAATTCTTAATTTTTCTAATTTAAATTCTTTCAATTTGAAACTTCTTTGATCTAAAATTTCAATGTTGTTAGTTTAAATCTATAAATAAAGATTTCAGTTTGTATTTCAAAATCATATTTAAGAATTTATGTTTTTATTTTATACTTCTTAAGAAGTTTACCATTTTTTATTTAAACCCACAAAAATATTTGAACGTTTCTTTTCAATCCGCAATAATTTTGATGTTTCTATTTTAAATCCACAAAAATTTCGAGTAACTATAAAATTTCCTTATTTCTTCACTGATAACTTAAAAGTATCAAATTGCAACGAATTGATACCCAAAAATGTGAATCAAATAAAAAATTGATTCAAATTTTTGTCATCAATTTGATGATCCACTTTAGTGTCAATTTGATACTTTTAAAAGAACTGTGATAATTTTAAATCGAGAAAACCTGCGAGGTTATGGATAATAATCGAAATACAAATAGTAAAAAAAGAAGAAGAGTGTTTTTGATAAAAAAAATCGATGCTTACCTGTAGAGAGAGTGGAATTCGACTTCCGGTGAATCATCCTTGGCTCTGCTGCCACCAGGAGATGCAATCAAGAAGTTCCTCATCTTCCGGACTGTTTGGCTCGTACATGTCGTAAGCGTCCGTTGGCGGGGCGTACAACGTCACCGTTGAACTGGTTCCGTAACCTTGACTTCCAGCTGACGAGGCCTCCGACACGAAACTGGGAGTAGGCGAACTCGACGCCTCTGAGCATGGAGTCGCCGCGAAACCAGGACTCGCATTCTGTCTCAAGTGATGCTGCTGATGTGATCCAAGGTCACTGCCAATTTCACTCGGCGCGTGGAGTCGCATTTCAATCGGCGAATGCTGCTGATGATGATGGTGGTGATGATGACCACGATTATGGTGATTATGATGATCAAGGTTATCATGACGATCCAGATGGTCATGATGATCCAGATGATCTAAATGATCATGATGATCCAAATGATCCAGGTGATGATCGCCCTCATGACGGGAGGAATTGGGGGATCCTTGCGAGGACAAGGTGACAATTTCCGAACCGTCCTGATCGTCGAGCAACAATTGCAAACTTCGAATGTATTCAACGGCCATTCGGAGAGTCTCGACTTTGGAGAGTTTTTTGCTACCGGCACGAGCACCGCCGTGAGTGCCGGCCGTGTTGCCGCCGAGGGCCTGGGCGACACTTTGGGGAATGTGCTGACGTAATTTTGCAAAACCGTTGTTCACCTGTTTCACGCGATTCCTCTCGCGGGCATTGCGTCTAGCAACGCTTGCCGGTTGATGAGGAACGGTTCCGTAAGGTGTTGTTTGGTACATTTTCGATCGCTTACAACCTTGCTGAAGTTGTTGTTGTTGTTGCTGCTGTTGCTGAAGGGCCATTTTCACATCGCTACCAGTGGTTAGCGTGCCCGTCGAGACAATAACATTGCCCCGATGAATCTGCTGCTGTACACCCGCACTAGACACCGGCACATGAAGACCCTGATGTCTAATATGATGCTGCTGCTGTTGCACCGACAACATTATTGGCAAAAACGAAGCAATATTCTCCGTCTGCACTAATGTCATATCACACTTTATCTCTTTCTTCGATATTCCCCCCTCGTTATTTCTTTTCCGTTGAAAACAATTCACTTTTCTTCAAAACAGTCTGTAGTATCAAAACAAGTCCTCAAAAAATCAGGAGAGAACCAAAAATGGTAAATGATACCAAAAAGGTTTAAGATTAATAAAAAATATCACTAAAAACACGTTTACCAACAAAAAACTAAAGTTTTGTTGAACTGTTAACTGAAGTTAGTTGAAGAGAACTATTTTTTGTAAAATGAGAACTACACACTTGGTTTTGAATGTACACGGTACGACCGTGGCTCCCGAAATGCCTTGCTGAAGAGGGTTCGGGAACATTTATAGACGGGCGGGCACGCGCCGCTCCCCACTCTTGAAATTGCGCACACTGGGCCCTATGCCCCTCGTGCTGCTTTTTACCCCTCTTTTGATATTGCTGCTTCTGCTGCTGTTGCTTCTTCCTCGCCAGCCAGCCAGCCAGCCAGCCAAACCTCCCCCACCACTTTTCTGCGTTTGAGCGCTTGGCCCCATCCGAGATTCTCATCTCATACGAATTCACAGTAAACGCGCGCGCCAGGGTCCACGAGTTTTCAAGCGGCACGCGACAACAACCTTCCCCTCTCACCTTCCCCACTTTTTCTTTTCTCTGTATCAAAAAAAAAAAATTATGAATCCTTTACCATAGGTACTTTTAATATCGAAAGTTTACTTCTATTTGACGAAATGGGCCTTGTTTTTTAAAAACAGGCAAATAGTACCAAAAATACCATAAAGATACCCATAGTACCAAAAATACTTAAAGTACCAATAATACTAATGATACTGATACCAAAAATACCAATAATATCAAAAATACCCCAAACTGATAACACCAGTTTTCTTGAAAGTATCAAACTGATACTAAAGTGGATTATATTGTTGCTAAAAATTAAGATCAATTTTTGATTTGATGCACATTAACAAATTTGGTTTGAAACTTACATGTCAGGTTAGAATTTTGATCAAAATTAGAGATTAATAGTAAAAGTAACCTAAAAATTAGGTCAAGAATCAAATTTTGAAAAGAATATAAAAAGTAATTAAATAACAAAGAAAGTAAAATTTATCGAATAGATGGAAAAGAAATCAAGAAGTGGTATAAAAAGTATGAATCAACAGGTTCAGTTGTAAATGTTTCAATCCATATCTTTCGAGAAGGAAAATTCAAATATAACTGGCAAAAATATACGATTTAATGCTAATCCTCTACAGCACCGGTAGCACTTCCCCTCATTCTGAGTGTCTCATAAAAAATATACATAATAATATCACAATAAAGTATATAACAAATAAAACTGATAATAAAAACATTTGACTGCCCATGTCGGTTTGAAATCCTTTCAAAAGAAACAATTTTTTCCCTTTTTTTTGCGCTCCTCGAACATATATAAATATATTTATATCTACTTATGATTGTATGCAGACTTAATTTTTAAACGACTCACACAACCCCAAAAAACAAGTATCATAAACCAAGAAAAAAAAATGTCTCATTCTTCTTTTCCCCAAATAAAATTAATATATACGCGTGAGAACCTGCATCACACACAAATATTTATAAGGTCTTGAAAAATCGCAAATGAAGAAAAAAAATTGTTATACCTTTTTTTTACTGCCACTAACTACAAGTCAAATCCCCATATATGGACAAAGAATTATTTTTTTCGTGGTGGTGGGGATCTCTTTAAGAAAAAATAAAAAGAGAAACAGAAAAGAAATTTCAAAAGAAACAAATCATTTTGAATAAGGGAATAAAGTCAACCATAAAAAAAGCAGACCGAAAAGAATCAAAACGATGGAGGGTCAACAATATGACCTCGTCAAAATCCAACTCACTAGAGATTTTTACGACCCGGATGGAAACTTTTACGATCTCGTTTTTGAATTTGCAACCCTAGGCCTCGTTAGACTCACGTTTCTCAATTCATTTTATATATGTATACCTGTATACCTGTATGTATAACCGCATATAAGCATCTATTTCAAATTCAAAACAAAAAAGTTGTACACACTCGTTGAGATTCTAATTTGTAAATCTTGCGATAAAAATTTTTTTTGTATTTAACATTTTTTGTTTTATTGTAAAAGAAATTATAAATTGTTTTTTGAATTTAAAGAGTTTTATTTTTTATTAAAAACAATTTTTTAAACCAATATCTACTGATCAGTTGTTTGAAACAGCTTTTAACTAATTTTAAATAACTTCCAACTCGTTTCAAACAACTTTGAACTAGTTTGAAACAACTTTGAACTAATTTGAAATAGCTTCCAACTAGTTTCAAACAATATTCATCAATAAGTTTCAAATAACTTAAACTTCTGTAATATATTCCAACTGGTTTCAAACAGTCTCTAACATCTTCTGACAAGCTTCAAACAACTTTGAACAAGTTTTAAGAAACTTGAACTAGTTGTGAACGACATCCAACAAGTTTTAAACAATTTTCAACTAGTTTTAAGCAACTTCAACTTAGTTTCGAATAACATCCAATAAGTTTAAAAAAAACTTTCAACTAATAATAGATTCAAACAACTTCCAACTGGTTTTAAACAACTTCTAACAAGTTCCAAACAACTTTGAACTAGTTACAAACAACATCCAAAATGTTTTCGCAAAAACAATGATTTTAAATTTTTATAATGATTTAAAAAAATCTGAATTGTCTTAAAGGTCAATCTTGTTTAAAATTATAATTAACCATTCTATGAAACTGAGTCGAACTTGTTCGTAACAACTTCGAACTTGTTATAAACAATATAATATTAATTTTTTGAAAATATTTGTTAAATTTCAAACATTTTGGAAGTTATTTAAAACAGCTTCAAACTTGTTGTAAACAGAAAATTGGTTCTAAAATTTCAGAAGTTTTAATATATTTTTAATTCTTATAAATTCTTTATTTTTTATTTTATTTCTCTGGTGCAATAACACAAGAGAAATAAATTCAAAAATGTAATAAATTTTTTTCGAGGAGCTAGCCATGAGAAGCACTGTCCTTAAATCGAGGGTTCACATCCCCGGATGACTTGGAACGAAATTCGAACAGTTACCGGCAGCCAAAAAAAAGAGGAAAAAAAAAGCTGGTCCTTACAGGGTGGGGAAAAAAATGGGGAAAGGGAAGTGGACGAAGTCGCGAGATGTTCCGCGAGAGGGGTTTTTTTTAGTGTGGCAAAGCAACGGCAGCAGCAAGCAATACTGACCGAAAGGGGATTGTAGTGGGGTTAAGGGGGGGGAAGAAGTAAGTCTTCGAGACGCGAGCCGTAATCCCCCACTCCGCATCGTGGCGCACGCCGTTCTTCTTCTTCTTCGTCTTCTTCGCCCCCCACCTCCCACCCTACACATATATAGTATACACTCTTTGATATGTATTGTGGGCCTCATGCCCATAGTGCGTGTAGTTGGCGGCATCCAGCAGCAACGGCAGCAACAGCAACCGGTACACGCGAGTCGGACGCGCGCGCCACCGTACGTGCCTCCCCCCTATATATGCACATGTACGTGTGGTTGCGTGCTTACAGGCGTAAATCCCCCCTAACACATACGTATACACGAATTCCCCAACTTTGGAACAGGTATTGCCCTTTTCTCTCTCACTCTCTCCTCAAAAACTTCTCCTCTGCAGTTCCCTTTTACTTCCATGTCTCGACTCTCGGGCTGTGTTATTCTCTTTCATTCTTGAATGCACGAAAACAAAAACGAAAAAAATTTACAAATTGACCCCGCGGGGCAATTTTGTATGTTCTCATGCTAGAACTGCAGCAATAATAAACAATGATGGCAAATTATTATATTAAATATCTTTTCGACCTGATGGTAACGTTCAGAATTGAATTATAAATTTCAAAAAGTGTTTTTGTCCTACCTGCACGAAAAGTATGTCATTTCGGGCACTTAAAGTGGGCGCAAAGTAACTGATTCTCGCCCGGGGCCGGGGAAGCGGGCGCAAAAGTTCTTTTACGCCCGCTGACGTCACACAAGCGGGCGCAAAAGTACTTTTGCGCCCGCTTCGCTCGTGCCCTGGATGCCATACTTTTCATGCAGTTAGAACAAAAAATTATGTTCGCAACATGGGCGCAAAGGTGATTACGACTTTGGCGAGATCACCTATTTTGCGCCCTTGATACGATAATAACTATTTTACTTTATAAAAATTGTAAGGGTCATTTTCGCTGCCCCTTGTTATGTGAAAATGACTTACGGTTTTCATATGAGACGAGCTCTTATCAAAATTTACTATTTAATTTTTCAGTGTTAGTTACAGCCGGAAAAAGCACATAAACTTTTTCACAAGATTACGTGCTATCTGACAGCAATAGTATAATAGTAATAGTAGTATAGTATTAATAATATGATAGTAACAGTAGTATAAATAATCTAGTAGTATAGTATTAATAGTAACATAGTAGTAATAGTATATAATAGTAATAGTAGCATAGTAGATAATAGTAGTATAGTATAGTAGAATAGTATAGTAATAGCAGTGTAGTATAGTAATAATAACAATAGTGTAGTACATAAATTATAATAAATATAGTATATAGTGGTAATAATAAAATAAAAGTAATGTGACAATAATATCAATAAAGATACTATAATAACACCTAATTATGATAAATAAAAATAATTTATGAATTATATAATATAGTCATAAGAATTTTTTAAGTGTCAATGTAATAAAATATACTAATCTTTAATTAAAATAAATCCCACTTCCTGGGAACATTATTTATAAATCCTAATTAACACTCTCCCTGAAGAATTCAAAGCTTATTATTCTGACCTCAAAAAAAAAAGGAAAAAAAATGATAATGTCTCAAAATGTTCATATAATATATATAGAGGAATTCCGACGAGGCTTGTGATTGATTTCGAAAACATTACCATAAGCCTTCATCCATCAAAGAGAGTCCCATTGATTCTCAAAAGAATGCCTCAGTAAACAAAAGAAAATGGTAATTTCAGAGGACAACTTCATTAAGAATATTGGAATATTTCCTTTGCCAAAAGAATTCTTTTGGTTAATTTTTGCGATTGACTGATAAAATATTTAACTAATGATGTTAATTCCTCTTTACATACCATGGCGTCTATATTTATAAATATATAAATTAATAATAATAATATTATTATTGTTATAATTCATAATTAATTATTATTATTCGATATTATTATTTATAAATAAATGTAGGACTCTTTTCTGATCCAAGTTATATTATAATTTCATCTTTACTAATATTGATATTTTTATTATTATATATTATATATTATACATTATACATATATTATTATTATATAAAATTATATTGTCATATGCAGATACGTCAAAACAGATGAGTTTATCCTCATAGAAAAATGGATCTGACGGAATGTGTTCTCGATACAGTTTCGGAAACGTTGAGAAGGAAACTGTCAGTCAA